TCCAAATCTTTGGGAAAGGAGATGTGTATATATGTACACACACACACACACACACACACACACACACACACACACACACACACACACACAATTAGAATGAAGTCACTACAATATTAATGGGAATTATCCTTACATCTTAATGACTAACCTTAACCTCCCTTTTTTCATATTTCTGAGTTTAAAAAAATCTCTACCATTAATATTATAAATAGGAAAAGTTTATTTTAAGGATACCTATTTTCCTTAATTATTTCACCAATAAAGAGGACCTTTTGTTCACCTCAGAAGAAATATATTTCCTCCCTATGGGTAATGTGGAAACCACTAGGTATGCAGAAAAATCTGACTGGGTAAGAGGGAGCCTGCAACTATTTAAAAAGATAGATCTTTGGATAAATCATTAAAGAGACAGAAAAGCACAAAGGCAATGTGGTTCTGCTGTTTTAAAAAATACTACAAATGCCCAGAAAGCATAAAAGCTTCCCCCCCTCAACTCTAGATTCACTCTTCATAAATGCCCTGCCACAGTGGACAGAAGCCGTTTAAGCACATCTCCTCTTCAGCTTTCTCAGTAGAGGGCACTGCAGGCACACGGCAGCAGGAAGGGGCCCTCCAGTGCTACAGGGGCTGCTCAGTGGGTCAGCAGTTGGGGGAGGTCATCAAACGGAGCTCCGCCCTGGCCACGTTCCCAGAATGGGCAGGCCCTTGGTGGGCTTGTTTTAACATGGAAACCACTTGCCCATGATGATACCTGGATTCCCTCTACAGACCCACCTAATCCTAAAGCAGCAGCACTAAGATCAGCTGGGACTCACCTTGCTTGGTTGGCTACACAGACATGCACAGCCAGGGGCACCACTCTGGTCAACTCCTAGAAACACTCAGGTCACGTAAGACTGCCCCTTTTGGCAACTGGTCTGTTTTTCTTTTGTGTGTGTGGGTTGAGTGTGTGTGTGTTTTGTTTTGTTTTTCTTTTTTAAATGGCAACAATATTCTGCAGAAAGTGTTACCCAGGCAGCCTGTAATTGTCTTCATTAATATTGGAGTGCAGTGGTACATTCAAACAAAAACTTCCTTCAAGGAAGATGTTTTTATATTAATAGTGTTTTCAATCCATTCCAGTCAAGAGATAGAAAAGATATAAGGAGTTAAGTTTAGTATAAAACTTAGTATAAAGGGAAAGTTTAGTATAAAGAATTATTAAACTCTGACACTGGAGAGACTCTAAAACAAAACTTGGGCTGAAGGGGAGAGTGCCCAAGGAGGTCCACTTGAAAGGTGGATCCCCTCCTCCAGGCTGGGGTTTGGACCTCGGTGGAGAAGGTGGAGTTTAGCCCAATGGATAGCAGAGAATTTTACTAGTTGACAGGTGCAAAGTGAGCAGGAAGCAGCCCTCCAGAGTGCAGGCAGAGTTCAGGCATCGGCAGCTGGTACCATGGCATTCAGAGAGAGGGCCAACTCGGTACAAACACACAAGGCCCAGTCTTTATCTCATTTTCTTAATTTACTTTTAATTTCTTTGTTTTCTAATACAGACATTAAAAAAATAAATTACTAAATTCCCATGGAAAAAGTTACTTTTGGTTTACACAATTTCAAGTTGATATGCAAACCATAGGTGGTCTGTGGTAGTGAGTGAAAAGACTTCAAACTGCAGGGTAAACACAGATCAGCGAGCGGGACATAGATTGCACTAGATTTTGGAAAAAGAGAACTATGTTCTGATATTAAAGTAAACATGGATATGCATTATTAAATAGATTGAAATTTTATACTCATACAAAACTTGAAATGAGTTCTGAGCTTTGGGCTACCTGCCTCCACCTTTCCGAGCCCCGACTCAGGATCTGCATGGGTTCTGGGTCGGAAAGGCATGGAAAGTGTTAAGGCCATGAGAACTGATGCACTGCTTCCTGGGCCTGGAAAGGAAAGCAATGCAGGCAAACATGTGTGAGGTATGGAACTTACATGCAACACTGATAGAGAGGGGCGAGAATGCTTCTCTCATCCAGTGAAGGGTTCCCAAAGCTGAAAGTTAAATTAAACACATTAGTAGAAAGCACCAGTTCTCTTAACATCAAAGCAAGAGCAAATTCTACAGGAAATCCAAATGTGATCCTAGATAATTTCATGCTCCTGCAGCTCAAATTATTTGAAGTAAAAATAATGTTCAGAGCATGACCAATTAGACACAGGATTCCTAACAGCCTGTACTGCAGTATCAAAACAACAAATATACTAATTTACAAGGATCCTTTCTCCTGCCAAGACATTACGAGGCACTGAAGCACAACCACAATAGCTTGGTATGTAGCTCAGAGACCAAAGGGAGAACCTAAATGCTTCCAACCTGAACAGGCCTTAGGGGTGGGCAGAGAATAAAGGCTATTCACATTAGGTTCCTGCAAACAAGCAGATGGTCATTATTTATAAAAAGAAGTTACACTTGTTCTATTCCAAAATGACCAACATAAAAGGTTTGGATTATCCAACTCCCTGTAATAAGTATATGGACAAATTCAAACTGAAAAAATGTTCACAGAGGCTGAGAAGACAGTGATTCCAAGCAGATGTAAAAATGACCTTAGCAGTAATTCAGAGTTATGAAAGGAGAACTGATTCTGGAAACACTGTCAACCTTCCACTCTTCCTGGAAGCTCACCTTAATAGCTGGAGGGTCTGGTAGCCCTCAGCACAGTGCAGGCCCTAAGTAATGAATGGCAAAGGCAGCTAGTTCAATGTGTGTTTCCACTGTACACACGATCTTTAAGAAAAAATGATCTTGTTACAAGTAAGGATAAATATTTTCAGGAAGGTATACATAGCCCTGGCCACTACCTGCTTTGCTGGGAGAGGCGGGGAGGAAGAGGTGTTTGCTGGCCTCTCACTTTCTGTAGCTGTCATCACCTTTGTGGAGCATGAGACACCTAGTGCTCAGCAAAAGATGGTGGCGTGGGTGCTCAGTGGAAGAAGGAATAGGCTGCTACCCATTCCTTGCTGAGGACCCATGTCTCAGACTATTCTCAGCAACCAATGTCAGCAGGAGTGACCTGGAGCCTGGAAAATTCTGGGCTCTAAGCATCCTAACCAATAGAAAACTATTAACTATAACTAAAAGAGTGGTAGTGAACTAGGCACCATGGAGAATGAAAACAGTGCAAACTGGAAATACAATGTGCTCTTCAAAAATAGCTCAGTCCTAAAAAATACAGATACTCCATTTATTCAAAATTAATAAAACTATCTTATTCAAGATAAAAGTAACTTGTTTTTATATATGATCACAAAGGAACTTCTGATAGCAAAAAGTTTTATGGCCCAGACTGCCATAAAAACAGCAAACATACCCTCCCAAATAAGTTGATTTTTTAAATTGCATGAACCCTTGGATAGAATAAATTTATGTCTAATTAAATTTCATATTATATTAAATATGTATTTCCCAAGATACTAAGCATCATAGTCAAGAAAGAATGATATAAGCAGCGAAAAATCAAAGACCTTGGTTTCCAGTTGTCTGGGAAGAAAATCATAGGGTCTATGGCTCCCTGGAAGAAACCTGCTTTTCCGTGTTCATAGCTGTCAGATGCCTGAGGGTGGAGGGAGCACAAACCCCATCGAGACAGAAGGTGGGTGCCAAAGTTGAGGCCCCAAGCAGAAACAGAAGCTTGGCTGCTGTCAGCTGCATTCGAATGTTTCCCGGGATATGCTAGGACACGTCCTTATATAAACAGAAAGCCCTGACTGACAGGCAGTCCTGCTGGTCCTACCTTTTGGCATTATCAAGAAGGATGAGCATGCTAGAGCCTTCATCATCCTGAAAGCTCTCATAGTGGTGGCGGTCAGCATTTCCAATCAGGTAGTCGAAGACAGCGGTGTCGATGATATCCAGGAGGCGCGGGCCGGAGTCATAAGGGGATGTTTTCTTCACAGCATCGCAGTAGCTCTCATCATACTCCCACCTGGAGGCAAGTGGCACCACCAGGGTTATTTACTGGGTGCCTTACTGTGCCTGGCATTGTGGAAACACAGAGAAGAGAGAGTCCCTGCCAAGCAGGTTTACCCCAGACACCCACAGCTGCCCCGTCGGTCATTTTTAATCTTGGACAGAACCCATGGTGCCTTGGCATGTGGCCAGGCACAGGAGAGAACAAAGTAATGGCTCACAGTAGCATTTACCTGGCCAGTTTGCCCTCTCGGTAAGTCCTGCCCCAGGGATGTCGGTGTTTCTGCAGAGGCCACACATCTGGAAGCCAAAGTGTGACAGATCCCTCCATTGTGTCTCCATCAGCACAGGCTGGCTCTGTCTCTCGGCAGTAGTAACACTTCCCATAGAAACAAGTGTTATTTCCTACAGGAGAGAAAGGAGCTGAATACTCTTAAGGAAACAAGGAAGACTCCCACATGCCCCCTAGCAATATAGGAGAGAGCAGCTAAATAAATAGATACCATGAGAACACAAATTCTCAACTGACATTTAAAAGCACATGGTATAAAAAACTTCACTAGCTACAATAGGATATATATGAGAAAGTAAGACTCTCTTTCCCTCTGCGTCCCTTCTACCTGACTGCTCTCCCAGGCCTGGCTGCTGTCACAAGTATCTCTCTGAAGTAAAGGAAAGTAATGTTCTCTTTTCCTTTGCCAGGCTGAGATTTGGCCAGGGTACCCAGGGGAGGGAAAGGGCATGTCCAGGGCAAAGCTGTGGGCCAGGAGCTTGGTTACATATGGGGTTGGGAGTGGGGTTTTGAGCAAGTACGCAGCTACACTGAGGACAATGGGAACCAGGTTTCTCACAGAGGGCAGAGGGAGATTAACATACAGAAAGGAAGAAGGCCAGAATAAATCCTATGGTGTGGAATTAGACTTGGAGCTATTGGTTTGAATTGATGGTTTTAATATATACATAGAGAAAGCTACAGATGTTTGTGTGTGTATGCAGGCATATATACATATGTATGCATTTCCTACCTCTGTCCCTCAGGAAAACCTGGTAACAGTGACAACCAGGTGGTTGGTCATGCGCACACTTAGTACTCACATATTCATTTCTAAGTATCATTTTAATACTACATTAAAAGGAACCAAGGCTCTTTGGAGAAACAGCTGACTCTAGGGTTAGGGCAGGGAAAGTATAAGATGAGCCTGTATCATATTGCTATGCCAGTTGTAAGGAAGCACTCAAAGAATGATATTCCAAATGACACAAGAGACAATTTGTAGGGGAGTTAACTGGCCAAATCTGCAACAGTATGAGCATCAAAATAAATAGTAACAAATTTTAACTCTGAGTAAATTAAGAGCCTGAGAGTTCATAAGAATATAAATGAATGAATGAATGAATGTGGGGTTGGGTGTTCTACCCTTTAAGAGAAGGGCAAATAGAAAGTCTAGAAGGAAAGATACAATTAGCAAATAACTGTTTGGTAACTATCATGTAATTACTGATTCAGGCAAAAATTATCAACAGATGCTAAATCTGGGGCACAAGTTTGATGAGGACACAAATTTACATTGTTCTAGAATTATCTCCCTACCAAGTACTCAGTAATTACTTATTAGTAAGTACAAAGTACTTATTAGTTTATCCTGCAGAAACCTTACAGACACCTATCTTCTTAACCAAATGATAAAAGTTAACATCACCAGACATGGGACATGGCAACAAGCCTACATCACACGCCCCTGCTATGGTGCACTGAGGAGGGCACACAGCACTTCTCTGGTATTCCCCCCACAAATTTTGAAATCATGAGGAAACACCAGACAAATCCAAATTAAGAGATATTCTATAAAGCAGCTGGTCTGCACTCTTACAAAATGTCAAGGTCATGAAAAACAAGATGAGTGAGGAATTGTTCCGGGCTGCTGGAAGCCAGAAAGACATGACAACTGAATATAACACATGATCCCAGATTGAATCCCAGATTTATACAGATATCACAGAACAAGTGGAAAACCTGAACAGGCCTATGGATTAGATGGTGACACGGGATCAGTGTTAATCTCTTGACTTTGATGACTGAACATGCTTTTGCAGGACAGTGTCCTGGCAGCTGGAAAATACTTAAGTCTTAAGGGGGCAAACAATGGTGTAATGGGTATTCATGTCTGTAACTTACTCTCAAATGGTTCAGAAGTGGTAACAACTGAAGAATCTGGGGACTCCTGTGCACAATTTCTGCAACTTTTATGTAAATCTAAAATTATTTCAAAATAAGGTTTAAAAAATAAATCTAAAAAAGGTACATAATGTATTCTCTGCCCTCCTCTATGAAGTATAGCCATCAAATTAGCTAATTTCCTACACAGAAAGACCTCACATCCTCCTTTAAGGACATTCTTATGTATATGTGTCCTTAAAGAGACAAACAGCTCTCAAACATAGTATTTCCAACCTCTGGAACAGTACACACTGAAGAGAAACTAATCTATATATACTCACAAGCAAAGCTGGCTAGATGACTCTCCTTTACCTTAAACACTTTTTTAGGAAGAGAAGATTGAACTAATTCAAAGATACACTATATTTATGTTTATAATTACAAAAATACACAGTTCTACATTTAACTTGATCCCATCAGAAATACCAACACATCTTTTAGAGGGTAACCAGATAGGATGATTTCAAAGGTCTAAAAGAAAACTAAGAAAGAATGGCTAGAAAACTCTTAAAATAATAGCAAATAGAGGGGACTAGTCTTAGCAGATAATAGAACAAATTATAATGACTCAATAATTAAAACATTACAGACCAACTCATGGACAGATAAAATTATCCAGTGGACAGAATATGAAGTCCAGAAACTAAAGCACACACACAAGTGAAGATTTATTATAGTGGAAAAAAGATAGACCCTTTAATAAGTGTTATTGGGACAACTGATAACCATCTGGGGGGAAAATAAAACAGCTGGAGCCATACTTCATTCTACATTACAGGATAAATTCCAACTATATCAAAAACTTAAATGTGAAAAACAAAACTACGAAAATACTAAAAAAAAAAAAAGGCAGAATTCTTCCACAATCTTGGAGTAAGGCTAACTATGATTCAAATCAGAAAATCAATAAAAAATGACAGGTCAATGATATTAAAAACAAACAAAATTCTATAAGGCAAAAAAACCAACCAACCAACCATAAGTAAAGTCAAAAGAAATTAAAGAACTGGGAAAAAATATTTACATCTGATATCACAAAGGGATATCCTCCTCATATGTGAGTTCTTATAAATAGGTAAGACCAATGACATAGCCGAAAATGAGCAAAGGCTATGGCTATGCAAAGACAGATAAAAGACAGTACGAATGACTCTTAAAAATATGCTACACGTGAAACAGACAAAAACAGAACTGTTGGTGAAGCTAATGGAAAAGAGGCATTCCCATACATCACCACTGAGAACATAAACTTGGCTAAAAACCTGTGTAAAAACACATGTGCACTTCAACCCAGCCCTTTCACTTCTAGATATATCTGATCATGTATGAAGTTATACACACAAACACACACACATGGTAATTCTGGACAACACTGGTTATAAAAACAAAGTATTGGATTCTTTATGTCCAATGAGGGACTGGTTAAATGAATTATGGTAGATCCATACAATGGAGCATTTTGAAGCTGGTTAAACAAGAGAATGAAGAAGTTTTTTATATGAGATAAGAAGGATTTCAAAGATAAATTAAAGAGTAAGATTCAGAAGTATGCATAGTTGGACATATGTTGTGCAAAATGGTAGAATTAAATAAATATATATATCATAGTTTATACAAAAGGACAAAAAAATTACTAAAATATCACATCACCTCACACCAGTTAGAATGGCCACTATCCAAAGACAAGAAGTAACAATTGCTGGTCAGGGTGCAGAGAAACAGGAACCCTCCCACAGTGTGGGTGGGACTGCAAACTGGTGCAACCACTGTGGAAAGCAGAATGGAGGTTCCTCAAAAAACTGAAAATAGAAATATCATTTGACCCAGTAATTCCACTCCTAAGAATTTTCCTGATGAAGACAAAAATCCCTGATTCGAAAGACATACGCACCCCTATGTTTATCACCTCACTGTTTCCAACAGCCAAGATATGGAAATGTCTATCAATAGATGAATGGATAAAGAAGATGTGGTACATATACACAATGGAATATAATTCAGCCATAAAAAAGAAAAGAAATCCTGCCATTTGCAACAACATGGATGGAGCTAGAAGGTATTATGCTCAGTGAAATAAACCAGGCAGAGAAAGATAAATACCATATGATTTCACTCATTTGTGGAATATAAAAACAAAGCAAAAGAGAAGAAGCAAAACAGTATTAGACTCAATGACACTGAGAAGTGACTAGTGGTTGCCAAGGGTGGGGTAAGGGAAGACTATTGAACCACTGTGTTACACATTTGATTTAAAAAAATTACTAAGAGATTACAACTGAAGGGAGGGGAAAGAATAGATGATGAAAGGAAAACTTTTCATTGTAGTCCCAATTTTTTTCTTTAAATTTTGTGATTACTGATTCAAAACAAAACAAAACAAAACAAAACAAAACAAAACAAAACAAAACAAAACATTGCTTGGTGTAGGAAACATGTCATCTACATGATAAAACCCAAACTCCCGAATTTGGTAAGACCCTTTGTAACCGAATGAAGCCTGGTGTTAAGAGTGGGCTAAAATACAGACTGGAAGTAGTCATTAGACTACAAAATTCTGGGCATGTAATTTCACCTCTCTAAGCTAGCTTCTTCTGTAAAATGGAGATGATAGTTCCTTCACCATTGGGTTGTGGACAGTGAGACAATCATGGTAATGCTAAGCACAGTGCTTGACACACTGTCAAAGACCAATTGATGCCAGCTCCTTATTATTAATAATCTGGTTCCAATTTGCCTTTCTACACTTCAACATCCCTGCCTTATTGCCATGAATCTGAAGCTCTGAATATTTTACAATTTCTGGTATGCACCAAGCTTTTAAAACTGGTTTTCTGATCACCTTGGTGTCATGCTCTCCTTGGATGAACTACCACTTGTGATAATAAAATCTGTACCTCTAGCCCACACTTAGCTCCTAAGCTGTTGACTTAGATTTTGCTGAATGAATAAATGAATGAACGTAAAAGAATACAAGTAGATGAAATATTTTAGTCTTAAAATCTGGATCTGGATTCTGGTTAACAATTAGTAACTTTGTGACTTTGGGAAAGTTATTTAAGTGTCTTTGTCAGGTACAGAATGTGGATAAACCTCCCCTACTTATTATACTCTTCAAGAGGAACAAATAAGGTAACTGTGTGAAAGTGCTTTGTCAGGTTGTAAGGGCTACACAAAATTTAGTTATTATTACATCATATTATCTAGTAACATGTTTGTTTTTAATTGTGCTAAGGTCAGCCCATTATTTAAAACCTACCTCTAGCCAAATCCGTCTACCTGCCTGCTATGGACTGAACAAACATCTGTGTCCTCCCTAAATTTGCTTGTTGAAGCTGTGATCCCCAATGCAGTGGTATTTAAAGATGGGGCTTCTGGGAGGGGCCCGCATGATGGGATTAGTGCCTTTATAAGAAGACACTTTCCTCTTGAAGATATAGCAAGAAAGTGGCTGACTGAAAACCAGGAAGAGGGCTCTTACCAGAATTCAACTATTTTGGCATCCTGATCTTGGGACTTCCAGCCTCCAGAACTATGAGAAATAAATCTCTATTTTTTAAGCCACACAGTGTATGCTAACTGGTTGTAGCAACCCAGACTAAGACACTGCCCTATGCTGCAGGGTTATGCAGAAGCTCATTTCCCAAATGCACTAATTCTGTGCATTTTCAGGTCTTCATGGCCTCATTACCGTTATCACTTCCTATGATTCTGCCAGATGCCTTCTCCTCTTTGCTGCCTGGGTAGCTCCTACTTACTCTTCAATCATTAGACCAAGTGTTAATAACCTCCTCTACAAGCCTTTTTTTGTCTCTCCCTTCCCTGCACCTTGCACAATATATGGGAGTTAACCTTCTGTGGGTCTTCAGAGTACAGGGACTCTGCCTGTGCTTCTGGACCTCCTGTCATTCAACAGGTGTTTGCCTGAGCATAAAATTGGACAAGCAAAAATTATTAGAAAATATATGGAACAAATTGGTGACACTGTATGCTTTCAGTTATTTGTAAGGACAGCATAGCCCTAGCCTTGTAAGTTTAAGTTCTGAATGAAGAGAACTGTCACAAGTCCTTTAAATATTCAGTTTCACCTCATTTTAAATGTAAATCCATTCATTCTAACAAAGCAAAGTGAAGTTCATCTTGCAATATCTGTTTCAACAGTCACATCAGAATGCAGAGTGCTGTGTCATTGAAAATGTCACCATGAAGAGGCCGAAACAAGAGACCACAGCACCTCTGAATTCTTCCCATTCTCACTGTGCCCATGAGGAGGAATGAGAATATTAGCTTAGATCCCTTAAATCAGAGTGAGATTTCAGAGAAGAGAGGGATCACTGGTTCCATGCACAGTGAGTTGAAGGCTAACACTTGCAGAGTAGTAGGAAGCAGTGGTGATCTTCCAAGCCAAATGCAACACTAATTTCTAACCATCTTACAGTTATCTCAAGGTTTCCTCAATTCCAAGGAGTAGGAGACAGTTCCTGAGAAGGTATATATATATGGAAAAAAACCACCACACCAATAATATTCAGACAATAACAGATTTAGGCCAAAATGTGAGTTTGAGATTTAGTTTAAGATCAAGCAGAAAAAAAGTTATCACAGACTTATACAATGAGCAAATGATCTCATTCCTACTTTACAGACACAACAAAGCACACTTTAGGGAAGGCTGTCAATTTCTTGCCATCTACCTATAGTTCCAATTTCTACCTGAAAACAAACTGCCTGATTGGCTGCTGTAGTCCCTTGACTTCTTTGATTCCTAAAAGTCATGAACCAGCTTGCTCAATGATGCCCTTTAACTCATTAACTATCCCCTACCTAAATGTCCTCTAAAATCTTCTTACCTACGGCCAGGAAGGTGCTCAAGAGCTGCTCCGTGGCAACGGGCTTGATCTCTGTCCGTAGATTAACAAATCTGCCAACCACCAAGGGGGCTCGGCGGAAACCCAGAATCCTGGTTTAGAAGGTTGAAGAACAGAAGAGAAAAATCTTTGGGAATATATTTTAAATAGTAGTCCTAAAAATCATGGTTACTCATGTCAGATGTATAAAGGTATTGTTGCTTGGTAGGTATTTTTTAGAGGTACACATATTTATGAACTTAATATCAAGATGTGATTTTGCTATACACTTTAGCAAAAAGGATAGGGTAAATCTGGCAAAATGTGAACGATAGTTAAGTCTAAGGAGTGGGTATATGGATAAGAATATGGATATATAAGAATATGGAATATGGGTATATGGATAATAAGAATTCTAAATAAATTTCAACAAAGCATTGAAAAAAGTTGGCCCTAAACCCCATATAGGATTTTAAAGCTCTGGATAAAACAGCACATTGACAGAAAACTACATAGATAAATCTAAAAGGATAAACCCATAGGACAATTTATACAGATATGGTACAACCTTATGGTTCAGCACAATCATTTTTTAACAAGTGAAAATTCCTGGCTAAAAAACCAAACTCAGTAAAAGCTGGAAGAGCAGGATTTGGAACACAGAAAATTTATGATGAAAAAAATAAAGACCATTCATAATTCCATAACCCAGAAATAACTACTGACATTTTGGCATCTAAGCATTTTTTCCCATTACATGTATATATAATCAGTACTCACTCTTGTGTATATATACACACAATTGAGATTATACTCTATGTATTTTTGTATCTTGCTTTTCACTCAGCATTATATATCCTGAGTCTTTTCCCATGTCATTAGAAAGCCTTTAGAAATGGCTGTATAATAAATAATCCATTGTTCAGGGCTGCTGACTATGCCCTCAACTCAATCTTAGAAAAGTCACAAAAGCAAGGACTTCAACAGATTTGTCAAAGTAATGTAAATAATGAGAAAATCTCCTGAGGCTAGTGAAGGTGGTTAAATCCTAATGTTACAGAGAAAGAGTAACTTAGAGAGGAGAAATGTCAGAAGCCATGGATGGGAAAGAAAGTCGGGGGGTATCTTTTTCCCACTGGCCACTGCCAGGCCAAAGAGCAGCAGCCAGATTAGCACTGACCAGCCATGTCACAGCAGCACTTGAGCCTGGCTGAGGTGGCAGTTAACAAAAGGGGTAGGGAGACTGGCTAGAGAATAGGTTTTATTTTTGAAGCAGGGAAGGACTTTTAAAGACAAGACCCCTAAAACACAAGTCATAAACTGAAACATTGTGCCACAGTGTGAGGAGTAGGATTTACCCAACTCTTTACCATTAGGTCTTAAAAGAAGCAGTGAAAATTCATGATACTATGAAGAAACACTTATTTAATCTTTTCCCTATCATCAAATGTTTAGATTGCTATCAGTTTTTCCCTACTGAAAACGCTACAGCTAAGATCATGGTATATGTATTCTTTGAATTGCTGATTTCTTTTCTAGGGCATTTCCTAGAACTATATTCCTAGAAATATCTTAGATATCTGCATACGAAGGTAATTACTTATTCAAAAGGTTTTTGATACATAATACCAGAACTCTTAAAAGAAAGAACGAACCAATTTACAATACCACAAGAAGCATATGAATCTCTCTATTCCTGACAATAAAGTATTATGTTTAAAAAAAATCTGTCATTTTCAGAAAGAGAAAATAGTATCCCATTGTTTCAATTGGATTTTTTAAAATTACTGCTGAGGATGAACTCCCCCTGCTGTTTTTATTAGCAATCAGTAATTTCTATTCAGTCAACTGAGTCCTTAGACCATTTTCTAGGCGTTTTAATGTGTATGTACAGACTTGTATGAACATTTATATATTAAGCCTTTCAATCCATAGATTACATCAGATTCAAGTATTTTCTCCTAGTTTGTTTTTAAATTTTGTTTGATGTTTCTTGCCTTGAGTTAATTTTTCTTATTTAGTTGAGTCTATTGAGTCTTTTTCTTTTGTGATCTTTTAATTACTACTTTTATGCTTGGAAAATTCTTCCCAAAGCAGAAACAAACAAAAACTCCCCTTTATTTCCTGGTTTCCTTATAGACTCATTAAAAAAATATTGTGAATATTTATTTTAAAGTCTGCCGATATGCCCTGATGAAGAGCAATGTGGATATTAGTTCAATTACAAGGTTCCTGACTAGCAAGCTGCTGAAAGGATACCAGTTTTCCTAGTTCTAACTTACATGTTTAGAATTCATGGCTATTCTTCATCAGTAATTATTCTGGTTATTGAAGTTGTTTGTACTTTGTATGAAGGCCAATAAAATTCATTATATACGTTATGCTATGTGTTCCTACTTTATGGGGATAAGTCAGTATTACTTACTTTGAACCAAACCAAAATACAAACAAACAAACAAACAGCAATGCCAGGCCCAATCAATGACCAGTTCAATTTAGGGATCTGAGTTCGAACTTTGGTTTTTATCCTGCCTTTTTTTTTTTTTTTTTACCAGAATGAAATGATCCAAAAAAGCCTGGAGTTAAGATATTTTACTTCAGTATTCCTAGTACCACCCAAATTATGAGGGATTCATACAAATTTAATAGAATCAGTATGTAACAAGTCAAAGTTATTAGTGGTCCACCTTTTAGGAGTCTAGAAGTCCTCTCCAAGATATTTTTAAAAGGAAAAAAAATATGAGCATAACCCACCATAACTCACTGTGCTTACACATACCTGTCCAAATGGAAGGCTGCTACTTCTGCATTGTGTCTGTCATAACCAGCATATGGTTCCCCTTCTACCACATAGTCTCGGTTATACCTGCAGAGCAAATGGGAAGCACAGAAGTACCACGAATTACATCCATACTGGAAATGCCAGCACAACAGAAACTCGAGCAAACCTGATTCTGCTCTACAGACTCCTCTGTCAACCCTGAGAACAACTGGTTTAACACACCACTGGCAGACGGGGTGAAGATGATGCAGAAAAGGAAAACCAGTCAATCTACCTCAGCAATCATTCTATGAATGAAATGTAGAGGATGCTATTTTTCCCCCTCTAAAGGATTTTCAATGTAATTTAAGTAAAAGTATAAAGCAATTTTTTGGAAGACAAGGACCATCTTTGTATCTCCAGCAGTGTTAAGCCTATAGTGCTTAATAAATGTTTACTTAATAAATGTGTATTACTTTTTTTCATTACTTAAAAATATTTACTAAAATCTTTATTAGACTTAACTGAAGAAACAAAGGAAAACATAATTAAAATGTATGCTTACCAGAATGGCTATTGCAAGGCTTGTAAGAGAAGTTCAAATTTCTTGGGGAAAAAGATGGTCCCAATATGCCTCGGTTTTTGTTAATGAGTAGGTAAAGGTGTGTTTGAAAAAACCATGCTCTTTTTTAAGTTTATGATGCTGTAATGGAATACTGGGCTGGAGAAAGTGCACCATTATCTGCCTGGATAATCCTGAGCAACACCCTTCTCTCTGGGTTTCAGATTCCTTATCTACAATATTAGGGGCCAGACTAGGAGATAATTGCTAATAAGATCTCTTTCATCTCAAAATCCATTCTGATAATTTTACATCATGCACATGATATAAACAAAGGATAATGAAAACTGGCATTATTTCTTTTTACTAATCATAAAAAAAAGATACTACTGAAACCTGTTAGTTGGAAGAAAAGACCCTAATTTACCTATAACCTCTGCTGTTCAGCTGCATTTCCTGAATCAAAAGGAGACCTATTAGGCTTTACAGGGACCTGTAAAACAGTAATAAACTGAGATTGAGGCGAAGAAAAGCTGCTCCACTAAGGATATTTGGATCTGTAATGCTGACAAGGTCATGAGGAATGGAAAAGGGTACTATAAAAGGCAGTGAACTTCAACATAAATCATGGTGCAATATAAAGTGAAACCATGTCCACAAAACACATTTTCAAGCCAAAGTGACGAAACATTTCTGTTAGAAGACAGTCATGTATCACCACCTGGTTGGACTAAGAAGTTTCTCCTTAGCATGGTCAATATAACCAAATGTATTTTTTTGTTTCTGTGTCAAAGCATTACTTAGGCTATCCAGGAATACACTGGCTACCTCTAAATTAAAAGTCTCAATTTTAAAATAGGACCGTAGCAAAAGTTGACAGCATTACAGCACTTCACTCTTCACTAAAGCTATAGGCTGTCCATAAAGCTGGGGGACAGTCCTTAAAAACTTTATTTTTCAAGACTCCAGTGGGGCCACAGAGAGGTGCGTGGTGCTATACAGTCCACTCCTTTCAGTACACGTTAGAGAGCTTTCCAATACATGAAAGGCTGCTTGGAGGGAAATGTAAAACCCTAGAGGAATTCAGGAACCTCAGGGTGGCCTGGAGAGGGAAGGAGCAAAGGGAAAAGGGTAAGAGTCAAAATGAAAGAAATATACTGGGGTCAGAAGGTCTGAATCCTTAGCTCATGTTCTGGCTATATCACATAGGGAAAGTCAGAACTCTGGATCCATTTTTTTTTTTAAAACCTGTAAAATTAGTAGTTGGATTAGTTGATCTCCAAGGTCCCTTTCAGCACTTCCTAAGATCACTCACTCACTCTGCCCACTTGTAGGTCCCTGCCATCTTGTCTCTTTCCCACTATAGCTGCAGTTTTTGCTTGTGAAAATAAATTTACTTCCAGAATGGATACAGCTACATTGAAAAAAATATCAATTTTATAATGCAGGGAAAAATGTGCCAAAAAAAAATCACCACTGTATTCCTATGTATTTCATCTACCATACCATATGTACCTTCTATCTCTGACAGTGGGATATGAACAGCAAGGCTCCAGAGATGCTGAAAGTGTAAGCGGCTGTTACGGAAATGTGCATGTCTCAAGTTAGCAGTGAGGACGTCGCAGCTCTTCTCAGGAGAGAGTGATCCATCTTAAGTCACTGACAGAGCAGCAAAATTCATATAGTAACTGCCAATAAATCACTCCTATCCTTCTGGTGAAGGACATCAGAGTCTGGCTAAGGATACTAATTTGCACTTACACTAGGACTTAATAGCCTCTGAGGCCCCTGGGGTCAGAATAGCAATTTGCTGGGTTGTTTCAGGACCACAGTCAATTTCTATAGGCACTTAAACATACACCCACCTTCCCCTGTCAGCAATCGTGCCAGGTGTAATCAGCACAGGTCAGTGTGTGCAGTGAATAAGAGCTCTCTCTGCAGGGGCCTGTTCAGCTTAGGTGGGGAAGGAGAGTGGTCATGGGCTTTCAGGAGGTGGTGGGGGTGCAGGGGAGCCGTCTGAAAGGAATAAAGAGCTGGGTGTAGAGAGGAGGACCAGACTGAGGGGCTGGACCGTTAGGCTGTGCAGGCTGGGTTTTGTTTGGTGAGCAATGGGAAGAGTCTGGATGTTTTAAAGATGGCCAGCAGAGTGGTAATACAGGGATTTGGGGGGAAGAATGAAACTGGTGCTCAGAAGGGTCTGGAAGAGGAAGGTTGGGGCAAGGCTGCAGTGGTAGTAAGAGAGGTGAGATGAAGCAACAGTGACCAAGGTTAGAGTATGAATTTATCACCTTTCCTAGTGACCAGACTGGCCTCTCCTCTCCACTCAGACCTTGTCTGGACACCCCAGACCCATATGCAGAGCTCCTGGACTAGTAATGATACCGCACACTATTAGGAATACCTGTCTTCTAACACTTCCTGCTGTTCCATCCCAACCTATCCTCGCTTTTCCAGCGTACAAACAAACAGTGGATGAGGAGAGGATATCATCTTATTTAAACACAAATGCCCACAACTCATTTCTCTTTATGCAAATTTAATTTTTGTTTTTTGTTTGCTGGCTTTTTTCCATCACTCTGCTTATGCTAGTCATCTTTCAGGGTACAAGAGCCACACTTCAAAACTTTTAAACTAGCTATTTTTTATGATGGGTGCTCCTTATTATCACACTTATGGGAGGGCAGACCAGTTAAGAGAATCATATGTGTGGCGGCAACTCAGCCTGAAAGCTCCAAATGCCAATCCCAGTAGTTACTGCAGGGTGTTCCTGCCAAGGGGGTTACTCTCTCTAAGCCTCAGTTTCTGGTTCTAGAAATACGAGCTATTAACAGACCATACTTGTGATGAAGTTTAAAAGCATTAACAGACACAAGAGGGTTTGGTGTAATGCCTGGCAAATGGTGTATATTCAACAGAAATTTGATCCAAAGGCCCACAAAACTTAGTTTTTGTACATAACCCGCCAATCAGACTTCTCTATACTCCAAGTCTACTGTATTTTTTATCTTTCCTAATTTTCACATCTTCATACATCATCCTTCCCAGTTTCAGGCAAATGCAGATCCTTTCCATTTCTGGGATCCTGATATATTAGCTCTCTGGATACGATCTACTATGCTGGTCACAGTTGAATTTTGTATATTTTAGCCCATATTTCTTCTCTTACTCTAGCAAGAGACCCAAAGATATGTGCTACAATTCTCTAAAAAGCTCCACTGAAGAATGAAAAATATGTTTTGTACTCTACACAAAAGATTTTAGACATTATAAACTTTGAGAAATATTCACTGGTATCTAATTGCTGGCAAAATACTACAAATCACCATCATGTTAACCTATTTCAAATTTATACTCACAGAAATGTAAAAAAAAAATACATACTATAGAATTACCACATAAATTATCTCTGTATATCCTGAGAATTCCAAAGGCATCACTGTCTAACAATATGCAATTCAGCCTATTCTCTAGTTTAGATTTTGGACTGAGGTTACTAAAATGGCTCAGTTCTCTGCTTAAGACAGGTAAAAGGAACAATGAGGTATCACTACACACATACTAGAATGGCTAAAATCCAAAACACTGACAACAAATCCTGGTGAGGATGTGGAGGAACAGAAACTCTCATTCATTCTTGGGAATGCAAATGGCTAGTCACTTTGGAGGACAAAATTAAACATACTCTTATAATTTGATCCAGCAGTTGTGAGGCTTGGTATTTACCCACATGAGCTGAAAACTTACATCGACACAGACACCGGCACACGGATGTTTACAGCAGCTTCAGCATAACTGCTGAAACTTGGAAACAACCAAGATACCTTTTAGTAGATGAATGGTAAGTAAACTGTAGTACATCCGATAGACAATGCAATACTATTCAGCAATGAAAAAAATGAGATACTAAGCCACAAAAGGACATGGTGGAACCTTCGATGTATATTGCTAAATGAGAGTAGCCAATCTGAAAAGGCTACAAATGGTATGATTCCAACTGTATGGCATTCTAGAGAAGGTAAAACTCTAGAAACAGTAAAAAATTCAGTAGCTGCCAGCGGCTGCAGGGAGAGAGGGAAGGATGAGTAGGTGGCACACAGGGGGTGTTTAGGACAGGGAAGCTATTCTGTATGATACTGTAATGGTGGATACTTGTCATTATATATGTTAATCAGAACCCACAAAAGGTACAACACAAAGAGTGAACTTTAATGTAAACTATGGACTTTTGTTAATGCGTTAATATTGGCTCATCAATTGTAATAAAGATACAACACTAATGGAAGACGCTACTAATGGGAGAAGCTGAGGGTAGGCGTAGGGGGTATATAAGAACTCTCCGTAGTTTCCCCTTGATTTTTCTGTAAACCTAAAACTGCTAAAAAATAAAGTCTATTAAATTAAAACAAAAGCAAAACCCAGGTGAAAGAATCACAGCTTCAGCACTAAAAGAGACTTTAGTCACTCATCCAAAACCCACTCCAACTCTGGGTAACTCCTACTCAAAAACATCTCTGGCATCTGGTTATCCAGTCTTTAATTGAACACATTTGGCAACAAGTTGTTTGTTTCCTAACCACTTCATTTTGTGTCTCTAATATCGGGCACATAGTAGATATGTGATAAATTTTAAATCAAGGATATCTCTACCTGTAAAAAGTTCAGTCTTATATGGAACCAAAACAAGTTCCTATACATTTCCCCTACTCAAATAATCAGAGAACATTAAGAGCTAGAGAAGACTTCAGAGATCTTCTGCTCTACCCTTCCCATGTTACTGCACACACCAAAAGAAGATACAAATCCCAAGTTACATGAATTGACCAACTAGCATATGTAACTTCCAAGATGAAGACTTACCGCTTAGGTTTGAAGACAACTTTCTGTCCTCCTTCAAGAATCAGTAAGGCTTTCAGTTGTGTTCCTTTATAACCCACATCAGCTTTAATGATTTTCTTGGTGGCCATGGCATGCACGATTGCCCCCAGCTCTGGTGTCTCTTCAGGGTATACTTCCCGGGGAACCACCCACTGGGCAGCAATCTCCCAGGGAGACTGCAAGGTGTGGTCCAGCTTGGGCGACAGCTCCACCCTCAAGCCAGCCATCATTCGGTGGAAAGCCCTCTGGTCCTCCCGGTTGGCAGCAGAGGTGTCTAGGTTGTCAATCAGGAAAACTTTGGTGAAGATAAAGATGACAAGGAGAATCGCTAGCAGCACAACCCGCTGCTTTAGCTTCATGTTGACTTCTTCTCCCTCTCCCCTGACCCACTCTTCCTCATCGAAGAGAACAGGTGGTGATGGCTAACAAGGAGAGTCCATGATTATGCACACTGGTCCATTTCTTCATGGAAGCACCTCCCACAATTCCTGCAAGCCCAAGTATAAAGCAAAATTCAATCAGAAATTTTGTCCTTCCACCCCTGTAACTTCTGCAAGCCATGTATCATTCATCCTTTTAGCCTTGCTAATCCTATGCTTTAGACGACCCAATAATTGAAAATTAAATAGTCCAGGAAGGACCTAATAGGTAAGAACAAGGTACAATGAAAACTTGAAAGCAAATTTTCCTGTTTTAATAGGATGTGGAACCACCTAGGAGACATTTGGTTGGCTACAAATTCCTAAAAACCAAAACAATGGGAGAAAGCACAGCAAAAGTAAAAACATTATGATATGTGTAACTCCTTCACTTGCATTTTTACCTTTCAAAGCCCATAAAGACTTTGAACAAGCCAAACTACCAGTATTTGTTAACTTTCCCGTTCTTATTGCCTCCAAATGTAAGTTTTATGACATAGAACAGGAACTCTTAAAAATGTCAAAGAGGGTAAGGGAGAGTAATAACTCTTCTCTGAATCCAAATCCCCCCAAATCCTGGATGTGTCATGTCTGCTGCTCACCTATTTAAATATAACACCTAGACACGTATCTCTACTTCATCAGTCTTCAGTTAATTATTTCTCAAAATTAAAATCCCTGTAAAACATGGACAATCAAATCTGGATAAATTAAGTAAAGGAACAGCATATCCCTATCCATCTGGCTATCAGTGGAACATGACGAGAAGCCTAATGAAGCCTGGTGCTGTGTACAGCACCACGACAGGCTGGACTGGCCAGGCATAGAATAAAGGTACTAATGCCACAGACATAAAGAAGCGCTGCTTCCAGTGTGGGGCCGACCACACGCTGGTCAGCTCTCAAGCTAAGATTCCAAATACAAGATTTTTGCAAGGGTGTCAAGAACATAAAATTCAGTCTCATTTGCATGCTGACAGGTTGCTTTCCACTCCCCATGGCCATTTAAAAACATCACAAGCTTGCTATTCTGTATACCTTATAGACAGCATGGCACGAAACCAAGACAAGTGACAGGAAGATAATAGGGATTGTTTAACTCTTCAATTCATTCAACAACTCAAATCACTAATCAAAGAAATAAAACGAATACAAAAAAAAGAGCAAACATCTCAGGCTGACACTCCTACCAAACTGGAGACTGCTCCCCTAAGAACAGCTGGAAAGACGTCCAAAAACAGTCTACAAAGGCAACAGTGTTCCAAGGGCACCAGCTTGCAGTGAGCCCACTGAGGCGCAGTTTATTCTTTGTGATGAAGCACTCTTTTCCTGTTCATTTTCATGAAGAAGTGAAAGTGAGAGTCAAATTTAAATTCTAATTATCTCCAGCCACCTGTTTTGTTTCATCATCATCTCCCTGGGAGTACACAGCACTATTAGCTGAAACAAAGGCAATTCAAGTGCATCCAAGATGTAATTGGGACGGTATCAAGTTTGGTGTGAAACTCCGTAAAACAGTTCCTATGATTACAGGTAACAGCAATGCTAGGAGGACCAATTTCAGAGATTTCTGCTAGTTCCAACACGACTAAACCACACACTTTTTCAGTCATTTGTTCAGCATACACATCTTAGGCCACAGGGATGAAAGGGTCATGGAAATCTCACTGTGTCAGCAATCATTTCCTCCATACCTCCAGCTGCCCACGCCCACAGCTGCACAATTCTGGCAAAAAGGGGTTGGCTGAACAGCCTTCATTTCCTACGAAACATCTTCAGGACTAACATCGGTTAACCCATAAACTAATACTGCTGCCCACTTTCATTTAGAATAAAGAACTTTCTCTCTCATGCTAAAGAAACTTATCATATTAAAAAATTTAGCGTAAGCTAGGGATATGAGGGTTTTTCCGTTCTGAGCCACCAATCCAATAGGAAGTTCCAGCAGCTCCAAAATTCAGACAAAACAAACTATCCTGTGCCACAATCTGACTTTGCGTGCTTTAAAATTTTGAAATCCATGACTTTTTAAATAAACCTCAGAAGAACATTCATTAATTCAGGGCTGCAAGCAATTCATCCACATTCAACCAGGGCAGAAATTTAGCTTAAGTGCACTGAAGAGTTCAAACTGTTACATTATTTCACTATTTTTTACTTCTGCAGATTAGTGGTAAAGGTGGGTTTCAAGAAGAGGCTAAACAAAGCTTTCATGTTTGCTATTAGTCACCACATTCTGGAAGAACCAGTACGATGGCAATTTGCCACTGTTCTCCACAACTGCCCTTCATGCCCACACCCACACCCACCAGCCTATTTAGTGTGTTTTGAGCCTCCAGGTTCTCCAATCCAAACTAGATAAGGCACCAGTCACCTTCCTAACCACATACCATTTCTGATTTCTACAAATTCCCTGGCAAGGCATTTGAACCCTTCTAGAGAGCTTCAGCCGGGCTCTCTTCTCAGGGTCTTGGCTCCTTTGTGATCTCAGCTATCTTGCACTCCCTGTGGGAGCTAACATAGTAAGGGCAGATGCCTTACCTAAACTGCACAGACCACTAACAGATGAAGCTTTGCAAATATCTGAGGACTTTGGTGTTAATCTCCTTTGGTGTTCAGTATCAAATGAGTGCTTATCAACTGGTACCTTAATGTTGGCTGTCCTTGATCAGCTACCCTCCCTTATTTGGCAATCTATTTCTCTGCCAACACCCTACTCAGCTTAGTTAGTAATTTTAGAGTTTAGTCTCTTTTTCTGGCAAAATATTGACAGCTCAGAAAGGTTTTTTCCGCTGGAAAGCTGTTACTTCTTCAGCCCACAAGGCAGCACAAAGACATTTAAGAAATTGACAATGTACAGATTATAGTGGAAATTATATAAAAAGTCTGTAAGTTAGCATGACTCCTATTTCAGAAAAATGTATGAGATGCACATTGTGGAATAATACCATCTTCTAAGGAGAGCATATTTCTTACTGTTTAGAATGATCCCCTGCACTCGTGTGCTTGAGAGAAGGTATCCAAGACAAGGGGTTCCATACTGTATTACCTTATTTTTTTGAGACAGCAGCATGCTGCACACTCTGCAGAAAGGGTTTTTAAGATCTCTCATTTCAGGTAGCAAGGAAATTAAAGCAAGATCAATGTATATTCCAAATTATTTATGAAAACTTCACTTGCATTTGCAGAGGAGTCTGCCTGCTCTATTTCATGTCCTTACCTCCTCCTATAAATGCCTCCAACAGTGCGACATTGTCCAGTTATATCATAGTTACTTTAACTTATTTTAACGTTTCTTTTACGTGCAACAGAGCCTACCTCAAAAAACAAATAAACTCAAGGTAATTTAACTAAAAAAATGTTAAATATAAAAAAGGTAGAGCAAATGGTAGTCTTCACACTAAAAGCTGGCACAAACCTCCAGAATGGTGTTCTGGAAGGCAGACCTTTACAAAGAATCTTTTTTTTTTGAGAGGAGAATTCTTTTTTTATTTTTATTTTTTATTAAGGTATTATTGATATACACTCTTATGAAGGTTGCACATGAATAAACAATGTGGTTGCTACATTTACCCATATTATCAAGTCTTCCCCCTATTACAAAGAATTTTCCAACTGAACCCTGATTTCACTCTTAGTTTCATCTGATAAATGGGGCTTGTTATGGAGGCTCATTTACTTTCATTCTTCACACACACACACACCCATACAAATATACACATCTTACCCTACACATTTATAAGGACACACTTATGACTACTTAGTTGTTTGGGGAGAAGAGAGAAAAATTCCACAGAAAAAAGTGAGGTCAGTATAAATATAAAGTCCTCTGTTCAAGACTCTGACTGATGTCTGGAAAAACATGTTGGCACACAGGTCTGTAAGTCATATGATAAAATTCAATGTACATGGCTGCTAAGGAACAGTACACCTGGCCCCAACACTTAACACCTTACTAGCAGCACCCACAAGCTACCAGTGAGGTTCCAAGTCTAATCAGCAGTGCCTCCTTGAATCTCCCTCTGATCAAGTGACAACTTCACAATACTTCTTATATAGTCACAGAGAAGAAATCCCAACTTTAGTTTGCTGATACCAACTAAAAGTGAAATCTTCAGTAATAACCCTTTTTGTACTTCCAGTTCAATGGTCAAATCAAGTTCTTGCCACATATGTGAAATGTAACATGCCTTGTGTGTAAGGTACCACAAGGAAAATGTTCTGCATAAAGAGTTCATGCAGAAGGCTATTATTAACAAAGGAGATTTGTGGCAAAGGACTTAGAATTTATTATGTAACTACATAATCATATTTACTCATATAATCTCCCTGTCCTTGATCCTTAGTAGGAATTACAAGGACCCTTTTATAAGCTTCTTTGGGAATCATTGGGTTCAGCAAACCTCTGCAGTTTGGTAGGTCTGAGAAGAGGTAAGACCTGAATTTAATTAACAGTTTGTTGGGAGAAGAGATAGAGATTCCACAGTAAAAAAGTGGGTCTTAGTGGGAGTCCACTGTTAAAGAGGCTGGTTGATGTCTGTAGGTACATACATAGAAAAACACATTGGTGCAGAGGTCTATAAGTCACTGTGTGAAAAATTATTACACGTATGTGGTTGCTGAGGAACATCAGAACACCTGGCTCCAACACTTACTACCTTACCAGATGCACCCACAAGCCACCAGTGAGGACCCAAGCAATTCCTCCCATAAATTCCTATTAAGAGGTGGAATCTATTTTTCCTCCCCCTGAATGTGGACTGGCTTTGAAACTTACTTGGACCAACAGAATGACCGTGTGCCAGTTCTGGGCCTAGGCCTTATGAGACCTGGCAGCTTCCACTAGGAACCAAGCCCCTGGGCATAGCAGCTCAGACAAGACTAGGAACGATGAGAGACCTACATGGAGAGAGGGACCTGGCCAGCCTCTAGCTAGTCTGGCCATCCCAGCTGTGGCGCATACCACAGAGGTGAAGCTGTAAAGGCATCCCAGTTCCAGCTGTGAGCCCAGACTATACCTTGTAAGCATAAGAACCAATGAGCCCAGCTGACCAACATAATTATAAGAAA